GTATTGATCCTGGTGTCTGTGAGTGTGCTACCAGAGGAGATTAACATTTGAGTCAGTGGGCTGGGAAAGGCAGACCCATCTTTAATCTGGCTGGATACCACCTAATCAGCTGCCAATGTGGCCAGAATATATAAAGCAGGCAAAAAATGTGAAAAGGTGAGACTGGCTTAGCTCCCAGCCTTCATCTTTCTCTCATGCTAGACGCTTGCTGCCCTTGAACACAGGACTCCAAGTTCTTTAGTTTCGGGACTCAGACTGGCTTCCTTGCTCCTCAGCCTATAGAAGGCCTGTTGTGGGGCCTTGTGATCGTGTGAGTTAATGCTACATATTAAACTCCCTTCTATATATACCTATCCTAGTAGTTCTGTCACTCTAGAGAACCCTGACTAATACATTCTTAAAACAAATGAAAAGGGAAATATAACATACCAAAATCTATGGATACTGCAAAATCAGCACTAAATAAGAAGTTTATAGCAATAAACACATACATCAAAAAAGTAGCAAGACTTCAAATAACCCAATGATGCATCTTGAGAAACTAGAAAAGGAAGAACAAATCAAATCCCAAATTAGAAGGAAAGAAATAAAGACCATAACAAAAATTAATGAAATTGAGACCAAAAATATATAAAAGATCAAAGAAGCAAAATGTCAGTTTTTTGAAAATATAAACAAAATTAAGAAGACATTAGCTAAAGTAGGGAAAAATCAAAGATCCAAATAAGTGAAATTAGAACTTAAGAACAAGATATAACGACTGATACCACAGAAATACAAGGGATTATTAGAGATTGTGAACAACTACATGCCAACAATTGGAAAACGTAGAAGTGGATAAATTCCTGGACACATTTAACCTACTGAGATTGAATCACAGAAAAGTAAATACCTGAACAGACCAATAATGAGTAAGGAGATCAAAACATTAATAAAAAGTCTCCCATTGAAGAAAATATCAGGACCTGATGGCTTCATCATGGAATTCTACCAAACATTTAAAAAACAAATACTAATTAAACTCAAACTATCCCAAAAGTTAAAGAGAAAAAAATACTTCCAAACTCATCTTACAAAGCTGGCATTAATCTGACACTGAAACAGTCAGGAACCCAATTAAAAAGAAAACTACAGGTCAATATCCCTGATGAACATAGATGCAAAAATATTCAACAAAACGCCAGCAAACTGAATCCAACAACCTATTAAAAAGTTCCTTCATCATGATTAAGTAGGATTTATCCCAGGGATGCAAGGACGGTTCAACATATGCAAATCAATATATGTGCCCATGACATTAACAATATCAAGGACAAAACTTTCGACAAAATTCATCATTTCTTTATGACAAAAACTCTCAACAAATTGGATTAGAAGAAACAAACGTCAAAACAATAAAGGTCACATAAATGACAAAACCATAGCTAATATACTAATATTATACTGGTGGAACTAATATACTGAATGGAGAAAAACTGAAAGCCTTTCCTCTTAACCTGGAATAAGACAACGGTTCTCATTTTCACCACTTTTACTCAAAAATAATACTAGAAGTTCTAGCCAGAGCTATTAGGCAAGAGAAATGAAGGTCATGAGTATTGGGGAAAAAAAAAAAGTCAAATTATCCTTGCTTGCAGATTCTATGAACTTATATTTAGAAAAACCTAAAGACTTTACCAAAAATACTGTTAGAACTGATAAAGAGATTCAGTTAAGTTACAGGATACAAAAGTCTACACATAAAAACCAGTAGCATTTATATTCACCAAGAGTAAACAATCTGAAAATGAAATCAAGAAAGTAATAGTTATAAAATATAAAATAATAATAATCCAAACAAAGAAGCCAAAGATCTCTATAATTAAAACTATAATATACTGATAAAAGAAACTGAAGAGGACACAAAAACATGAAAAGCTATTCTGTCTATGTTCATGGACTGTCAGAATTATCACTGTTAAAATATCTATACTACCTGAAGAGATTAACCGTCAATGCAATCCCTATCAAAATATCAGTAACATTCACAGAAATAGAAAAAGAATCCTAAAATTTATATAAAAACATATAAGATACCAAATAGCCAAAATAATCCTGAGCAAAAAGAACAAATGGGGGTACCACACTATCTGACTTCAAACTATACTACAAAGCCATGATAACCCAAACAGCATAAACACACACACACACACACACACACACACACACACACACACACCAACAGAACAGAACAGAGAAGCCAGAAATAAATCCATGTATTTACAGCCAAGTCATTTTCCAAAAAGACATCCAAGAACATATGTTGGGAAGAGGATAGTCTTATGATGCTGGAACACTGGATAACCACATGTAGAAGACTGAAACTAGACCCTTATCTCCCACCACATATAAAAGTAAAATCAAAATGCATTAAAGACCCAAAATTATGGAAGCGCTAGAAGAAAACATGGGAAAATGCTTCAGGACACTAATCTGGGCAGTAAGACCTAAGAAGTACAAGCAACAGAAGCAAAAATAGATAAATGCGACTATATCAAGCTACATAGCTTCTACACAGCAAAGGAAACAGTCAACAAAGTGAGGAGACAACCTACAGAATTACAGAAAATATTTACTTAATATTATAATATCCACTCAACAAAGAATTAATAACCAGAATATAGAAGAAACTAAATTCAGTAGCAAGAAAAAAAAAACCCCACAAAATATCTGATTTAAAAAATGGATAAAAGATCTGAATAGGTATTTCCCAAAAGAATACAGACAAAATGGCTAACTGGCATATGAAAAAATGCTCACCATTAATCATCAGGAAAACATACATCAAAACCACAATGAGATATTATTTTATCCCAGTTAAAATGGCCTTTATCAAGAAAGACAAAAAAAACCCATGAATGTTGGAAGTGAAATGTGGAAAAGGGGAAACTCTCGTGGATTGTTGGTGGGAATGCAAATTAGTTAGTATAGCCACTATAGAAAACAGTATGGCTTTTCCTCATGAAATGAAAAATGATCCAGCAATCCCTCTGCTGGGTATATATCCAAAAAAAGGGAATCAATGTATCAAAGAGATACCTGCACTCCCAAGTTTATAGCACCCCATTCACAGTAGCCAAGATGTGGAATAAATTTTTGCCCATCAATGGATGTATGGGTAATAAAAATTTGGTATATATACACAATGGAATATTCTTCAGCTATCAAAAAAAGACTGAAATCCTGTCATTTGCAGCAATATGGATGGAAATGAAGGTCATTATGTGAAGTGAAATAAGCCAGGTCTGGAAAGATAAATATCATATGTTCTCAGTCATTTGTGGGATCTAAAAAAGTAGATCTCATAGAGATATAGAGTAGGTGGTTACCAGAGGCTGGGAAAGGTAGCGGGGAGACTGGGATGAACAGAGGTTCATCAATGGGTATAAAAATACAGTTAGATAAAGGAATAAGATTTAGTGTTTGATAATTCAGTAGGGTGACTATAGTTAGCAATAATTTACTGTATATTTCAAAAGAGCTAGAAAAGAAGAAATAGACTATTCTGAACATATAAAAAAGATAAATGTTTGAGGTGAGATACCCCAATGACTCTGATTTGATTATTATGCATTGAATGCATGTATCAAGCTGTCACATGTAACCCCTAAATCTGTACAACTATTATATATCAATAAAAAATGTTATGAAAACTGGATGATGTGCCAATGAGAGCATGCATGCTGGGGAGTGGAATAAAGATTGAAAAAATTTTAAAAAGGTATGTAGACTTTATCTCTAAAAAAAATGACAGCTAAAGCCGGGCACGGTGGTTCACGCCTGTAATCCTAGCACTTTGGGAGGCCAAGGTGGGTGGATCACCTGAGGTCAGGAGTTCAAGACCAGCCTGGCCATCATGGTGAAACCCCATCTTAAAAAAAAAAAAAAATGACAGCTAAGATTAGACTCTTGAAAAAGATCGGGTTAAAATGTCTTCCCTCTCTCCCTATTAAGTTTAGAAATGCCAGCAACCTCAGTACATTAACAATAAATAAACATGAAGACAACTTAATATGAAAAACTAGTTTGGGTACAGGAAAGAACTACTTATCTAGAAACTGATTTTATTCGCAAAAAAAGAGACAATTTTACCATAAAATGAGATGCGCACTATTTTTTTGCAAGGTCAGAGCATTGTAGATTTCTATAATTATTTTATTTAATTCCTTAAAAACAATGTTCTACTAGTGAATGTAAGTTTACAAGAGACTCTTCTCAAGCTTGGTACAGGAAGGAAGCAAGCGTTATCTAACTATACCTATACCTGAACGACAAAGGTTTGGAACCCTTTAGGAAATCCTATTTCAAGTGGCTCCTTGGCTGTTACTATTACCATTAAAAAAGAAAAAAAAAAAAAGCAAAGCAAATCACTTTTCTCTCAGGACCTGAGGTCAATTTTTCTGATAAGACAGGATAGTTGCCTAAACATGAAGCCTCAGGAACTGGTGCCAGAAATTAGGAAACCACTATTAGATTAGAACTGAATTTTAACTCATACATAACATGTTAAATGTGGTAGCTTTGTATATTTTTCAGTCATTACAATATGTCCTTACACTTGTTTCTTAAAATCATCTTGCTTACTATTACTCTATGCACACCATACTTTTGAGAACTGTTTAATAATACACAGAACCTGTAAAAATGCTTCATCTTCCTCTTTGTTTTGTTCCTCCTGAAAGGAGGAAACTAAAAAGAAGGCAATGAGATATAGAAGCAAAATCAGTAAATTTGTGGTCTTTGGAAAGAAAAGACATTTAAAAATAATAATCCAGTTAATCATCAAGATTTACTGTATAAAATACACTACAAATTATGGCTGAGGACACTAGAAGGTACTGAAAAGTTAACAGACTATCGTTAACATGATTCTATGTGGTTATAATGTCATATAACGTAATTTTGCAGACTAACTTTCTTTAGGGCAGAAAATACATAAAACATCTAATGAAGATACTTACATTTGAAGGTTTAAGTTTGTTAATGATTGTTGTTTTGCCACTATTATCTAGCCCAAGGCACAAAACGTGAACCTCCTTCTTCTTCAGGCCAAGCAAGACTGAAAGTCTGTCTAGCAATCCCATAATGTGATTCAAATATTTAGAAACCAGCTGCAAGTAAGAAAAAATAGTATATTACCCAAGGGCACCTTAAGTTATAAAAATATTTCTATGAGTATTTTTAAAAAGTAATAATTTAAATACACATCACAATAGTGTGAAAACTATGTCAATGTAGCTTTGCACTTAGTAAACAGAGTGTAAGCTGATTACCAGAAAGGAGCCTTAACTGATACCCAGATTTGCAGCTTATAACAGGTGGCAACACAGACAATGCCTTTGAAATAACAACATTTCTCCCTGTAATTTATAATATTTACAAAGAAAACATGGTTAGCCTCAGTATCATTTGGAGTCTGCCAATTCTAACAGTTGAAAGTATGGAAGAATTAGGCTGTAGCCTTTCCAGATAATCTGAAACAATGAATGGGCAATGGGGTTCATGTAGTTTGATGCTGAACACAGAAAGTAGAAGAACACAGATCAGAAAAGCAGAGAAAAACTGAGATTTTGGTTATATAATTTGAGCCACTGGTTAAAGCTTTATCAGAAGCCACTGTCATTATTTTGCAATAATATGAATTGATAACAAATTCACTGTTTTTGCTTGCTTGGTTATTTCCAGTTTAAGTAGGGTTTTCTGTTAGCAGAAGCAAAGAATACTGATATACTTATCCTTATTTCCCCTTATTCTTTACATATATCTTTGTATAAGTCACCACAAATCCGTGTGTGAAGGTTATGCATAAATACACACATTCAGTTTATTGAACCTCACTAAATATCTGCTTTTTAACTGTTACTTATCGGAAACATCCTATTAAGTGTTATTTTAAAAGAACTTTATCACATTCATAGTAGATTGTAGATTTTAGTTTAGTTTTTAAAAAATACCTTAAAAATTTCTTTGTTAACTCATCCCTAAAGTATTCATTTAGTTTGTTCAATTGTATTGATTCTTTGAAAAAAAAATTCTTTCTAATGTAAACTTAAAAAAAAAAATCTCTATCAGCAATCCAAAAACAGAAGTATTTGGAAGTCAAATAAAACTGCTATGTACATAAGACTTGCTATGTGTTAACTTTATGGCTGTTTATATTCATCTAAGGTACGGTGAAATTGACACTTCAGATCTCTAAACTAACCTTTTCAAAGGAGCTCACTTTGGGTCCACTGCTCCCCAAACCTTTACTTTGTGGTAGGAGGCCAGGGAGATCCCTTTTTCCAATCCCCAACTGCTGCAGGAACTGCTACAATATATCTGTGTACCAAATATCTCCCACTACTTACCAACAGTCACTTTCACAGTTCTCTAAATATTTTTATTGTCATTAAATTCACTTATTCTCATCTCCATCTAAGGTTGCATAAGCAATCTGTCATATTACAGTTTCTTCAATACTTTTTATTCCATACAATTTCAGACAAGGCTACATCTTGAAGGATGTGAGGCTGTAGCAACTTTATCAACAAGAGGCTTCCAAGACAACTATATCTAAAAGGAGGCTGCATAGTCAACATTTTGCTTGGAGATGATTATGGTTAGAAATTTCAAAACTGAATTTCAGTGATATGTAGAGAAGAGATGGTACAGTGCCACACCAAATGGTGAGGGCTGTAACAGAACCACGTTTGTCTTTCCCCAGGGATGAGTTTAACTGTAGGTACTCCCATTTGCGCCATTTCAATCTACTTTTCTCCTTGTATTAGAGATTCAAATCTTATTCAGTCCATTTCTTTAAATCTCAGCTTAAGGATCAGCATTTGTAGAATCTATTTTAAATTAACCTTCTGATGTCATGAAGCAATTCACACAGACCATCTGAATTCAAAGTAAATTTGCTATTACCTTATTTACTGAGTAAACATATTGATACAAATGCTTATACCTTGTTTTTCATTTCAAACAATTTGGAACATATTTTAAGAAAATATGATCACTTCTCACATTTTTCCCCTCTAAGCATCTACTATAAAGTACTGACTGTTTAAAGCCTGATGCTTGAATATTCATTTTTCACAGTACCTTGTATTGAGACTTTCCATCACTTTTCCATGGATTATCAAACACTTGATACTTGCTACTGAAGTATTTTGGGATACACAATTTAGAAGAGAAGGTAGTTTTTCTAAAATAGGTAATCACATTTATTGAAGTTGCTTTATAAACTATCATAGAGCCTTTAAACTTCTACGTTTCTTGTAGTTATAGTTTTCCTTCCATAAGTTGACTTTCTGCATACATAAATTAATAAAAGATCATTCAAGCCACTCAACATTTATCTACCATGTCTGAAGTGTACAGGGAGAGATACAATTGTTTTCTGCAGTGTTTTCTGCAATTGTACAGTGAGAGATACAATTGTTTTCTACTCCAGTAGCCATGATTCTCAACCCTGGCTTTCAGAATAAAGCTCAAACTTCCAAGCATAGCTTTTAAGGTTGTTCACAATCTGGCTCCAATCTTCCTTTCTTGTTTTTTAATCTTACTGAACCCCTCTTTTTGCACACCAGCCAAATTCTCTTGGCTGTGGTCTGACAGACTGTTTCCTAAAGGATTACGTGTTGCCAAAGAAGTCCAGAAGAATTAGGCTGTTATCCACAGCTAACAGCTTAGAGGGTAAGCTGCAGAGACAGAGTGGTAGCCCAGAGAAAACACCACGAATGATACTTAGTAAACTCTACAAAGTGTTTGTTGATTGAAATGCTGCCTACTCTTATTACCCCAAATAAATGCTCTTATTCGGCTTTCAGTTTTTGATGATGGAATTTAAATTACACTTTTACAAGCACACACCCGAAATACAGGTGTCTAAGTTGGGCATTGTTAAAACCCACCAACCACACAAACATTAGTCCAAACCAGTTTAATACGTTTTCTAGGGCCTCTATTACTCATCTTCTTTTCTACTTCTTATACATTATCAACAACTAGGCGCGTGGAGTCAAAAACATGGGAAAGACGAAAGAGGAATTCTAAAACTGACGGGGCAGAGGGTGGCACTGCTTTAAAAACCGGGGTTGGGGAGATACCTGGTTTTTGATGTGAGTCCGGCGGGCGCAGGAGCTGGTAACAGGAACGGACGCACTCGTATCGGTCTCTGGGATGAAAATCTGGTGCGAGGGTCCCTCAGCCTTCTTCTCTATGCCTACACAGGAAGGATGCCTGGCAGTGAGCAAAGCCTCCTCCACAAGTTGGGAAAACCCGCAGCCGCTGCAGCAGCCCGTGCATCAGTGGCTGAGCAGGCGCCGTGGCAAGCACCGTTCCCTTGGCAACAGGAGCTCCTTCCGGTAGCGAAGCCACGCCTCTCCGGGTGTCTTGTCGAGTCAGCCGTAGTGCTGTAGCTTCTGGGAATGAGGAGCTCCGGGAACAGGCCAGAGGCACGCCGAGGAACTACACTTTAAAGAAAAGTGCGCGCAGAGGTGGCAGGCTGAGCTGCCGATTTCCTGCGCGGAGCCTTGCAGTTCCCGGAGAAGCATGCTGGGAGTTGTAGGCGCACGCACAGCTTTCTGGGAAGCGTTGGACGTTCGCGTGTGCTGCGTGTGCTGCGTGTGCTGCGTGTGCGTCGCCCGGCGCTGGTCTTACTGGGGATGCCTGAGTCCGGCGGCCGGTGTGGCGCGGGGAGCATCGTTACCTGCACCAGCGCAGCGTGATGGCAACGACTGCAAGACGCGACTTCCCCTCCTGGGGCAAGATGTGCGCCGGAGTTGCCCGGCTGCCCATCGAACCGACTCTCCTCTGGGCTCTGATAGGCCTCCCAATGAGTTCCGGAGAAGTAACATAGAGGGGAGAACTGGCCTAAAACGTCAACAGGCTCGCGCCTGTAATCCCAGCACTTTGGGAGGCGGAGGCGGGTGGATCACGAGGTCAAGAGATCGAGACCATCCCGCTCAACATGGTGAAATCCCGTCTCTACTAAAAATACAAAAAATTAGCTGGGCATGGTGGCGCGTGCCTGTAATCCCAGCACTTTGGGAGGCCGAGGCGGCTGGATCACGAGGTCAAGAGATCGAGACCATCCTGGGCAACATGGTGAAACCCCGTCTCTACTAAAAATACAAAAAATTAGCTGGGCACGGTGGCGCGTGCCTGTAATCCCAGCTACTCGGGAGGCTGAGGCAGGAGAATTGCCTGAACCCAGGAGGCGGAGGTTGCGGTGAGCCGAGATCGCGCCATTGCACTCTAGCCTGGGTAACAAGAGGGAAACTCCGTCTCAAAAAAACAAAACAAAACAAAAAAGTCAAAAGGCGTTATTCGGCTAAGAAAGAATACCTGCACCCACTTCTTCCTAGTTGTCTGGTGTCCGGAAGAGATTTCCACCAGGCATAATCTCCTGTGAGCAGATTACAGTCTCCAGAATCAAATCGGCAGGTGGTCAGGCAAGGCATTAATAGTCAATAAAGTTGGCCACCTTCTTAAATTGCACCTGGATTTTCTAGTCAGAGTCACAGATGATCTCCAAATAGAAAATATTTAGGCATACTTTCCCCCACATCTTTTATTACTGCGTTTTCCAAAGGACGCATTACAGATGCAGTCATTTTAAAGGTCTAGCCTTTCAATCTGCCCAACCCCACTAGCCTCACCCCCAGTGAATCATCTTCATGATGTAAATGTTCTTCGAAGAGGGGTTTTTATCTCTTCTTTTTGTTTTTTGGTTTGCTGTGGGTGTAGGATTTCCTCCCTTCTCCCTCCGCTCCCCCAGACCCTTTTCAACCAGCATTATGTTTACTACACTATCGGTTCTTTGGTCTATTAATTTATTTGACTTATTAAATAGACAAGGAGGGTGCAAAAGGAGACTAGAAGGAATTCTGGCAAGGAATATGGTAGAGGGGACGGTTGTAAGCACGTGATTGTGGGGTGATTTATCTCTTGTCACTCAAATTTCCAAATGTGATTGTCATATTTACAGTGAAAAAACAAAACGGTTCTGGGTTAGTGATTGTTGTTGAAAGACAAAGACAAAACTGACAAAGACCCTATAGATGTATATCAACATACAAATGTCCTTGTAGAAATGGTGTATGGAAATACATTATTTCTTACTCTGTGGTCTTAAGCCAATTTACCCTTCTCTGTGCTTCTACCCTCACCTTCAAAAATATACTATTCATCTTATCTGGTAGTTCTGGGTATTAAAGACGAACAGAAATACAAATGTTTGGCACATATTTATTGTTCAATAAATAATGTCCTGTCTTCTTCTGTCATGAATTTTTATTATATAAACAAAATTGACCCAAAACCTAGCTGTCGCGGTTCTTTAACTTCTGAACTTCTGATCCTGAATGCATTGACAGGGAGGTTCTGCTCACTTTTTTGTGTGCCTGGGTGTCGTGACTCAATTTTAAGAGATGGAAGCTAATGTGCTTATAGCCAGAATATAACATTTTTTTTTCTTAGAGATAGGCAGATATATTATATTTCAGAAAACTTTCATGGGCAAACTCAAGTTTTCCTGCCTGTAGCTGATATTTTCTGCCTGTAGGTTGAGTTCATCTCTTTTGGGTTAGTACAAAACATTTGGTGAAAACTGAGCATCCAACTTTTCAGGAAACCAAGGCAGATAGATAATTCTTTTACAAAATTGTAGCTAGTCAGTTGTCTTAGATAAGTATAGTTGATAGAGGGCTTATTATTAGAGGTAAATGTTATGAAATATAACAGTTTATTCAGATAATCTGGAAAAATGTCAGCCTTGAAAATGTTAACGTTAAAAAAGCATAAAGGCCACTGGGTGCGGTGGCTCACGCCTGTAAACCCAACACTTTGGGAGGCTGAGACGGGAGTATCTCTGGAGGCCGGAGGTTGGAGACCCCATGTCTATTAAAAATAATCAGACGGTTGAATCTGCCGTTTTGCTGCTTTGTCAGCTGAAACTCAAGAGTACATTCAGAGGCTCATATATACTTGTTCCACTTGATTTAAGAAGTTTGACTCTTCATTTTATTATGACAATGACAAGCTCTAAAAATGCTACACGATTTTCTTAAAGCTACTTAACTGTAACAGAAGGGAATTGTAGGCACTTTCTTACCACTTTTAATTTCATACTGGCTTTTAGAACTATAGTAAGAAAATTATAAAAAAGAAAAAAGATACAATGAATACAGCACTGTTCTGATTAATTCAGGATACTTTTAGTGTGATTTTCTCACCAGCAACTTTTATAAGAATATACCCATTTCAAAAAAGAATATAAATAATCCCCGATTTATAAATTAGTGCAAGTTTTTGGCATAAACCTTTGTCTAAAGCCGTGTTTCAATAGTTGATGTTATGTATACCTTTTTTTATCTGCAATTTTGTGCAGTACCGCCTCTGCAAGGAACACTTTACTTGAATTTCACAAAATATTTTCCAATATAAAAATCACTACAAAAATATGTAGCAGTTTTTTTTAATAGTGATTTCTGTGAATTTATGTCTAAACCTAATGACATTATTTCAAAAAATTACAACTATGATATTGCATCCATAATTACTAAATTATCTAAAGAGCATCTAGGTTTATTAGATCAAAAAATAAATTGCATTAAGTCTGCATAAATACACAATACAAAAAAGTCACCAATTCAGCCACCAAAACTGTAACTTTTATTTGCCAATAGATATTTTAATAAACGGCTTACTCCATCTGTAAGACCCTGATAATGCCTCTTAGGAAATCATAGAAAAATAAAATACAATAATTAGTAATTTGTACGTTGTACAAAAATCTTACTATGTTGCTCAGCAGGTAGTTTGCTAAACACCATATTCTTTCAGCAAATAGATGACATATGTTATGCAATTCACCACAAACAACCCCTCATATTGAGAGCTGAGCATTCTATAACACTATTAACTTGTAAGCATGCCAGCACATGAAAATTTACATGGAACATTATAATATTATAGTAGATTTTGTAAGATAAAAATAGTACCACCTTCAAATAAGTCTGGACTACTTCACTGCTATAGTAAAGTAGATGATAGGTAGGATTGCAGTTCAATTGTTAACACCTTTTTACTTTGTCGCTCTACCGTATTGTGATTACAACCGGAAAAGAGAACATAGGCTGTGCCAGGAACCTGAGTGGAAGGCATGTGTTCAAACTATAAATGGTGATAGAACACCAGAGAGAAAACATAAAACAGTGCTATACTTCCTTATTCTCATAGATGAATCTTTTTCCCCTTTTGTAACAGCAGATGGGTACAGTGCTAAATCCTTCATTAATAATAAATAGCTTCATGACAAGTGACAAAGATGCTTTAAAAATCATTTGTACTTATTGGAAGGAAAAATATTTTTAGCTGTCCTTTTTTATTAGTCAAATATAGCTCTATGAGGGATTAAATATCTCAATCTAAACATGTTATTGAGGCATTTTATATAAATACGCTATTCAGTTTTCATACACTTTAGGATTTGTGCTACAAAGATTTTAAAACATTTTGAGTGCACTGCAATTGTTGATATCGTCTACCATTTAAAATTTGATGTGGCCATTTAAACATTTAAAGTGTTTAATCAAATACATTTTATATGTACATGTATATCTTTATATTTTTGGCTATGCTAGAACAGCAAAAAATGGAGAGCAATCTCATTCCGTTATTCACAATCTAATTTCACATCAAATCCAAATAATGAATCTTTAAATTCCAACATACTGAATTACATACAACCTGGAGCTATACATACACACACACATATGTGTGTGTATGTATATAGTATACACACATATATACATACATATCTTTCTCTCCAGAAATAAAGCAGCAAACACAATTAAAAGATCATGTCTTTCCTGTAGGATAGAGAGGGGCACAACGAAAAACCAACTACATTGCCCGTGTGTTTTCCTTAAATGACAGAAGGTATTGATGTTTTCCATATGAAAACAAAATAATTTTTACTAAAAGGTTAGTTCCTGTTTGTCTTTTATTTTAAAATTTATATGGGACCTCAATCCCCTCCCAAATAGTGTAGAAAAAAGTGGCAGGTTGATTAAACAATATACATCTTTCAGGATTAAGCTATTTTTAATTTTGATAGGCTTTGAATTATAACAATAGCTACAAAATGTTTCTGCCTTTTAATCTGTAATAGATGAAAGTAAAGAAAATAAGTTTTTATGGTATTGAGAAATTCTCAATCTCTCCATTATGGAAAGAAGGGCTCTTCTCAGAGTCCTTGGATCCCACGGAATTCAAAGTTTTGGGTCTCCCAATAAGATGTCTCAAAAATATTTAATAAAGATGCCTTTAAAATATTTCATCAAATGTATATTCACTTTCTTACTGTCCAGCTACTTACTATGTATCCTCCAACCTGCACACCCTTCCTGTCCTCCATATGACTTTTATCTCATTCTTGATTAAAAAAAACACTTACATGACATCCTTCCCTTTCTACCACCAGTGTACCAACCTCTCCGGACGTTACACACACTGCCTTCCCTTTCATTGGAGCTGTATATTCCTACACCTATCAAAAAGGAACCCCCTACTTATGCTCTGAATCGCAACTCCTCTGTCTCTCAAAGCCTGTTACAATGATCATCTCTCTTGCATCATCAGTTTTCCCATCTGCCAAGCCATTTTCATTAGTAAATATGCTGTAGCAGCCTTAAGAAACAATTCCTTGACTTCCGTCCTCCAGCTATCATCCCATTTCTCTTGCTCCCTTTACTTCAAACTTCCGGAGAGGTTTTGATAGATCCTGACTTCACCTTCTTCCCTTACAGCTCTTCTGAATCCATGTCAGTTAGAATTTGACTCTACTGTTTCATAGCGACGACTGTCCTTGTCAAGGTCATCAACAGTTTGCATGTTGTGAAATCCCATGGACATTTCTTTGTTCTAATCTTGACTTCTTAAAAAGTATTTAATTCAGATGAGCAACTGCATTTCCTTTCTCTCTAGCTTACTTTATACTCCATTTCTTGTTTAATTCTAGTTACCTACTTAACTATTAAACACTGGAATACCACAAGTGCAATCCTAGGCCCAGCTCTACAGGCTTCTCCTAGGTGATTTCCAAACTTTAAAAACCGTGTATATACTGACGCCTTTCAAATCTTGAAGTAGTGACTCCTCCGTGTTTTTGCTTGAATTACTGACCCTATCTCCTTTTTGCCTCTTTGCCTCATCTCAGTGTACGAAGAACACTGTTCTCTACTCTCTAACACCCCAAATTTTCATTCCTTAACTATTTTCCTCTGCTTGTAATGCTCTTCCTCCAAATCTGCTCATGCTTTTCAGATATCAGTTTGAATGCTGTGTCCTTAATTTCCTCTACCACTTAAAGGAGCCACAGTCATGCTGTGCCACATTTTAAATTATCAGCACAGCACATCACTGTTTCTTCATTGTGTGTCTTTGCCACTAGAAGGTCAATTCCATGAGACAGGGACTTTGCTTGTCTTGGTCACCATATATCCTCAGGGCTTAAAACCGGACAATGATACATGGTAGTGTTCAATAAACAGTTGAACGGAGTGAATGGATTTACAGATAAATATATTTTTAAAGTAAATCAGTATGTCGTTTTTGATATATATATATTATAAAATTTAGGATTTATACAAGTTTGGACCAGTAAATAGACATGATCTCCTTTAATTTGTTGTTGCTGTGGTTATATGTGTTACATAGTTTCAGGAGAGTAACACTAAACTTTGACTGATGTTTTTAGTTGTTATATAATAGATACCTTATTACTGCATTTACTGGTAGAGTGATCAAGGTTGTAAGGTGAAGAAAAGGAGTATTTTGTTTTCTCAAAGGTTTTTGGAAACTCTGAAGAAAATAAGCAAATTACGTGTAAATGGAGTGGCTTTTCCCTCGTGTTTGAAGCATCATATTTGGTAAAATTTTAAAAACTGAATAAGCAGTAAGTAGTGATAAGTAACTATAAAAAATATATGTTCTTTTTTTGAATTTATAACATCCAATGGAGGATTTTCATTTTGTATTTCCTTTCATGGGAAAACACCTTCTCTAGCAAAATTTAGGGTATATCAGACTAATATTAAATAAAAGAAGAATAACTTCAAAAAGAATAACTTCTAGCCACTGTGCTATAACACTTGGTTTCAACTTCTTTGAGAGCTGGAAACTTACAAGAATTATGAGACTGAATTGAAATATAAAAAATATGGTGGCTCTTTTTTAACATACTTAAAACAACTGGAAAGAGAAGGCAGTCTTCTTGAAAGAATATAAACATTTAAAGATCAAAATAAATTATATCACATAAAATTAATATGTAAGTACTATATTTTTAAGCATTTGAGAGTATGTATACAATTAATACAGCTGCTTAAAATAAGGACAAATTGATGCTAAAAGATGCTTTCAAGTAAGTTCCTTTTTTATACATCCTCTATATATTATTTTACATTTAATAATGGCAGGAAAAATTCTCTTTATTATCCATGGGATAATTTATTAACACGTCTAAAGTGCTATGACAGTCCAAAATTCAATGTATTATTGTTTGAATTTTTGGCAAATTATTTGATTATATATGTTTGGAAAACAAAGGATTAATAATATGGAAATGTTATGAATTTTGATGACGTTCTATTATAAAACATTTTGAAAATAAACTTTTTCCTATTTTGATGAGATTTCTTTCTAATTTTATATATGAATACATATTTTAACACCTATTAGTGTACTGATTTATGTTAGAGATTCCCATCCTTGAAATGAACTTTAGTTTCAAAATAATCAGTAAGAATACTATGACATAATTTTTATTCATTCTTTTCTAACAGTTTTTAAAATGAGGTAAGTAACAATTTTAAAACAAACTCCTCTTTGTACTGTTTTTCCCTTTAGTGTTTTCCTTAATTTTAGTGGAACTTAGTTTGTTGCCAAGTTCTGCATTCTTGTTTTGCCTCTGGTTTTTCAAAAAATGAGGTTACTCTACCAGGTATACCATAATGAACATTTTAGGAAACACAGACTGTTAAAAGTTCTTCCTTCAAAATTCAAAATTAAACTGTCTAAGTTTTCACTGTATACAAAATTAAAAGTAAGTATAATTTATGTAAAATGTCCCAAAGATATTTATATCCCATATATATTCAAGTTTTTTCAGTGTCACAATCCAAGGTCAAATGTGATTAACAAAATGAATAATAATGTGTCCAAAATCAATAACATACAGTAATCTTTTCCATCAAGTGTTACTCATGTTTGTATTTATGAACACTGCTCAGGTATTGTGTCCTGCTCCCCCCGAAAAATGCTCCCATTTTACATTTTGATTTTTTTTTAATCTAAGAGGCCTAAAAACCATAAAATTTTATCAAAGCTACATTTTGTTCGGTAAAAACAAAATGAGAGTTTTGCATAGTATGAATATATTAATACAGTTTTCTTCGAAGACATATCTGGCATGGGAAGAAAGAGTACATTAAAATAAATTCCAAACTTCAATGACAAACTTTTATATACATTAAAACTTACTTTTCATGCAGTGCAGCAATTTTAAAAAGCCCCAATGATTGTTTATTAACTGTATATGATATTCAGCATTATCTTAAAAATACTATGAGGATATTGCAGGAATAGCCCTAGATAATATACCAATGAATATTTAAACAGTTGAATTTAACAATGCGCACATCAGTCACATTGACAGAAAAAAATAGCTTGTTCAGTTACAAATTTGTTAGCAAATTATTGGCCATTGATTTTTGTTATAGGACTTCTAAAGACTACAATTTTGAGCTGACTTATTTTAAAGACAAAAACAATATGATAATAAATAAAGCATGCACAGTTAAAGAAAAACTTCCTCATGACTTTAGTAGTTATATTACTGGGTATATGAGAATTCTAAAGATAGCAAAAGTTACTACTTTGAAAAATGAGCTAATATTAAGAATTGTATTATGGCTTCTCTGATTAAGTGAACGAAGATGTGTTTAAATGAAAATTTAATAAAAGCGATTTCTATCTAAATGCATACAGTTCATCCTACCAATTACTAAATGTAGAAAAGAGATTTTTAATTATAAAAATAGTGGAAGAGGAAATATTGAATAAGGTAAAGATCTTAAAAGTGTGGTGTTTGCTCATCTTTACAAATTAAGATTCTTCTCCCTATCATGATTTTGAAAAATTAAATGATATTGAGTCGTTATAGAACTCAGACAAATTAAGACTGTTCTAAGGTTGATCTACAAATGTGGAACAACTTGTAGAGAAATGTTTACATCCATTCGCTTCTCGTGTAAGCTCACATTTAACTCAGAAGCAAAGATATCTATCCCAGTTACTAATACCTAAATATACAAATTGAATGGAATATATGGAAAATGATTCTCATATCCTTAGAGTTCTCACTATAACAATGTATTATTTTGGGATAAAGATAGTTCTCATTTCAATGATGGATAATGAGATAGAGACTCTGTTGCTAACTAAATAGGAATCCTGAATTAGAGTTGTCTTCCTTTTATTATTTTGTAGAATACTCTATCTATAGTTATATCTCAGTTGTTCTGATTTGTTGAGATGATAACTTATGATCTAACCAAAAATGAGTTTATTATGACAAATTAAAAATGGCCAGAGGTTACAAATAGTGCAGAAAATACAGGTAATAACAGAGCTCTACTTTAGGGAAGATTTTCACTGATTCTGGTATTTTTCTAACTCACAACTCCTGAGAAGATTGTGTTGTTAATTTACACTTTATTCTAATCAAATGTAGAAGCTCCATCTTTTTTTTAACACTAAAGAGCTATCTTTCCTCCTCACCTGTCAGGTGATTTTTCTTTGATACCTTTGTTATTCTTAAGAATGAATTAGTTGTGTCTAAGGGTAATGGAATTCTTTGAGACTTCATAATGAAACAAATCAAAAGTTCTCTTAATGATGTAGAGATTTGGTACTCTGATTAATCCGTGTGAAAATTCAAGCAAGAAGCTTTCCATGTTTTGTTTAAAAGGAAACTGCTTTCAATAAGACACTGCAAAAATCACTTGATGTCACTGCGATACACAAACTTCATAGTTGACAGATCCTTTTAAAAAGGTACAGTTTATTCAATTCATAGTGCTTTGCCTTCCTTAGTAACTGAAAAGTTTTCTCTCTTTTTTTCTCATTTTAAAATGTAATTTGGATTGACACTGGTAAGCTAAAGAAGTTCCAAATATATTCTAAAATCTCAAAAAAGCAAACGCTAATAAAACAAAAACTCCTTTGAATTAAGAGCAAAGAACCCAAATCTTTCCATTAAGATATAAATGTTATTTTTAAAATACATTTTATATAAACTCATTGTCAATTTGAAGCTAATTTACTACTCAGAAAAAGATGATTTGTTAAAACTACATTTTGATGACCAATACCTTTTTCTAGATCTTTTAATTCTTTTCCCAGAATATATTTATATTATGCCACATCTAATTATAACAATAAAAGTTAATTTTTATTCTGAGAAATTTTTGAAACATCTCATCAATACATTTTTTTAAAAGTTAACAGTAAGAAAAAGATGAGGCGTTTACTTTTACACAATATAAGATGTTTCTATCATTTCCCTTAGTAGTATGTATAGTCAGGAGTAATCAGCTCTTTCCCTTGTTAAATGGATGGAGTTTGAAAGGATTTTACGCTACCATTGCAGTTCATACTTAGCATCATGTTGACCAGAGCCAGTGAATGAGCGTGAACAGGAGATTATTCCACAACTGCTCTTGAAAAAAACCTAATGTTTTTTAACAGGAGGCACCTTCAAGGTAGTGAATCCATATACGAACTGGTAGGTATGCCGCTAGACAATAAAAATCTGTGACTTCTGATGAGGATCAACTCTTAATGAGGAAACCGTTTTAGAGAAACCAGCAGGGATTATGGGGTGTTTGGGAAGAATACTACGAGAATTTTAAGTCCAAAAAATTGCAAATCCAATTCCCACTGGACGAAGTTCCTATTTATTTCTTTATATTCTATGAAAAGTGCTATCCCCTGCTGACATGGCAACCATAGCAAATACAGCAAATAAAGCTCTAAATTATAATAATGAGAGTTACCCGAAGGCAAGGACAGCACAACCAAACTTATCTTTGTAATAAAATTTGGTGCATATAGGAGACATTCCATAGATATTTGTTAAGCTGAGCTAGATAAAAATCTGTGTTGTCTTTGCGTAACATTATAAAGATTGAAAAATTTTTGAAAACGTTGCTCATAAGAACCAAAAGTTAGGTGACTTCAGTGCCTTGTGTTCTGGTGAAAGAATACCATCAATTTAACTCAGTGTACTCCTCTACCTTTTGGAGTCTTCATATTTAAAAATATTAGAATATCTTGTGATTGAATGCGGAATTGGAGATTGGAAATGTTAAGATGCTGCTACTGAAAGAAGTGATACTTTGCTTCTAATCTCTTTGATCCATAAAGACACGGACCAACTGTGAGTTTATAATAACAGATAGTGATCTTATTTACTAATTTTTAAAAATTAATAATAAACTTCCTTAGTTAAAGCAACTGAAAAGGACCATCGTCATGATGCATTTCAGAATTACTTTCCAAAGAACTTGATTTCAAGTTAAGGAACAGCCAGAATCCACATCCTCTGTTAGTGTAAATGTTCTCCATTATGTAATAGAACCCAAAATATTAAAGATTTTGCAACATCTCCCTGCCCCAAGCCTCTTTGAAGGAGATCTGCACAGTGTTTTTAGACTTGTTGTGCTACCTTTGTTATGCTGATAGGGATAATGTGCGATGTGATAGAAGCTGAGAGCAGAATAAAAAGACAGGATGGGGAAATTAAAAACAGGACTGAGAACATTTTCGAAAATTTAATAAAAAAGGCAAAAAGAAAGAACTAATTCAGTGAAAATTATGAGATGAGGTTTAACTGACTGCCTTGAAGAGCAGAAATCTGGCAGGAGAAGACGCCAAAATACGTTTTTAGGAAATGTGGTTGGGTGATATGTAAAATAATTCATTCTTCACCATCTCTTCTGAAGACCTTCTTTAGGGCCTTTGCTTTTCAAGGATCAGATTTGGATTTGTTTTCCATTCATGGTCTGAACTAAATTTGTTTTTTTTTTTTGTTTTTTGAGACGGAGTTGGTAAGTTTTAAAGCTGTTGCTGGAAGGCATTTTTATTCAGGTTATACTTTGTTAGATTTTAAAGAGTTATGCAGAGTGAAATAAGATGTCTTATTTTGATTATGGAATGTAGAACATTTATCACCAGTTAACTCAGTGCAAAAATGCTGTAGTTCTTGATTCGTGTTAAACCACAAGAATTTTGCAATTTGATTGCTTTTTTGAATGATTTAAATACCTTCTCTCTCTCCTTGATTGTACATTGTTTTTATATATTTTTTTCCATATATGACTTATATTATGAGATAAGGAGTTCACTCTAGACTGAAAATTGACCATTTAGAAAATAAAATGAAAATTATTTTTTGACTGTCTGGTTTTAAAATCCAAAACACTCCCTCATTAGCATAGATGAAGATATTTAAAATAAAGTAGGTATATGAGCCTATATGCATACTTTAGGTATCAAAGATTATTCCTGAAGACTTGTGATTCATGGAAATTACTTATTTTCTTTTTATAATTAAGTTTTATGCTTTGCACATTAAACAGATTTAGTTTTATGTAAAATTTTCAAATGAATTTGGCATTTTAACTGTTAATATTCCTGGATATAATAATACTCCTGGGATCATGGGGTCTATGACTAGTAGGCAGTAAATAAATAAATATCCTTATATTTCAATGTTTCTGTTTAATCTTGCACACATATTTCAATCTTGCTGTAACCATGATGAAGTTCAAAGTTACATTGAAGATGATCATGCTTACAGTTCTGAAAAATAAAAATGTAATTTAAAAGGAATTTTGGAGGAGACATGACATGAGAGACAAAGGAAAAGGTCGTTTTATGATACTATAAAAAGAGGCTAGAAAAAGAAGAAAGGAAGTACAAATTAACCAGATGTAAAACAGGATTATCAGGAATTTTAAAGAAAAAAATTCTTAACAGAGAACTTTAATCTGGCAGTCACTGAATGCTCCTCCCATAGAAGTGTAAATAATTTAATAGGATTCATTTCCAGGTACTCAGATGGTGCTGACAGAGTCCTGGGGAAGACCATATTATTCTATTCCTTATTTTTCTAAATACCTTTTTTGTATTATAAAAATAAATATATGATTAATAAATTTAATCTGTTGTACATCTGTTCTTATTTAATATATATTTGAAGATAGGTAAATATGGAAATTTTATTTTTCTTCTAAATGGATCCAGATTTGTGTAAATGGATCAAGCAAGCTGCAGATGGTCCATGAGTGATGCACAACCGTGCAGGTTGACGGCTGGAAAACGTGGCTATATCTGACACACTTGCTTAAAAGTGATGGATTTCCCATCCCTCCTACCTTTTTTGTGTATTAGAGGAAGGATCTAAAGACTCTTCCTCCTAGCTGTACACATTTGTTTTGAAATGAGAAGGATTAAGCTGTGGTCGGCAAAAACCAGGAGATAAGTCAGCAAAAGAAAATATGCAAATATAATGGGACAATCTACAAAATCTAAATATAAGAAAAAGTTAGGCTCCTTTATAAAATAAAAATACTACTGTGACCCAAAAAATGAATTTACATAGGAATTTGAGAATGTGGGTGGGGCACCGTTATCTCTGAGATCCAATAAAAGCTAATTTATCAAATCAGCATCCTTAGACAACCTACTCTGTTTTTTTCTTTCAACACATTTTACTTACTCTTCCACCTAAAACAGTAGACATTTTTTTTAGTTTTATAAGGAGGAGCTGATTTTATAATTTAATTTGTTCACAAGATATAGCACTATTTTGATAAGCCAACTCAGCTTAAATCACTTAAAAATATATTTACCTTTTTAAAAAGCCTCTCAGAAGATTATGACAACACCACACCTTAGCTGTGTTCTCATTTTTATGTAATTGTATGATGGACCCAGGTCGACACGCTATGTTCGTGTGTAAGGTCTGTTTATATACTCTTTGGAGTATTCATACTTATTTCTTAGAAGGTTCGGAAAACAGCTCAGCGTGTTCATGTAACTTATTTTTGCAAAGAAAACATAAGAATGCTTAAACTTGCAAAATGCACCAATACCAAATGGTCAGCTAGGTATGTTTATTTTCTTGGGCCACCATGTATCTATCGTAAAGTTCTGTTTGTATTAAATTAATTAATATTTTATACTAAATCTAAGGGTATAATCATGTATTTTATTCGAAGCAATTCTACTGAGAATGACTAATTTTCTCAGTGCTTTGATAATTACTTTTGCAAACTTGTGACAATGCACGAAGGGAAAAAGTCATGGCTTTATCCCAAGCTTCCCTCTGCGAAAACCATTAGATCAGTGAAGTCACTCTTGGTCTTTCCAGGGGCGGTCTTTGTAAGGTAGTAGAGAAATATACTACGGTTAGTAAAAAAATAAAAATAAATAAAATTAGAGGTGAAAAGCCTTTACACTACCACCTATTATGAAATATGTATGACACTATAAAGTTAATTTTTAAAAAATTGACAAACCCAGCCTCAGAAGATTTAAAAACACAGTATTTTTTTCTCCCTCCGTAATAACCCCCTTCTCACCACAGTCGTACCTCACAAAAATTCATTACATGATACCAGTTGTCATTTCTGCAAACAATTCTGATAATATCAGGCACCAACTGTAAAACCGTTAAAAAAATAAAGTAACAATACAACCAATAGAGCTGCCTATAATGATCTAAAAACCAAACATTTATGTCAGTTTGGAAGCTACTTGATCACAAAACCTGAAAGAAAGGTCAACTAGTTCATTCTCATCTACCATCACACTCTACATACATCACTGAGGAAGCCCCAGCTGGATAAATGCCTTTAGGTTAAGTCCGTGAGCACTTCCCACATACTGCTTATACAACATTACACATCGATGCTGAGTTATTTACCATTGCGTAGCAATAATCTTCAGTGGACCAGGGTTTTATGTGCAGGTTAGTCATAGAGGATTTATGTAGCATGATTTTAAAATCCTGGTTGGAAGCATAAGCATAAGTTGTGTGCCTATAGTCTGAACAGAAGACTGCAGTTTGTGAAGTGATGATTGGAGAATCAGAAGAGAGGGAAGCAGAGAGGGTATCGTCCATTTTAGAAATGCTGAGGCACAAAACACGGGTGCTTGTAGTCCTTTCATACGTGAAATCCCTTCTCCTGTATGTGCATCATGTGTAAACGTAAAGTCTGTATACTGCTGACTATGCGTCTCTGGTGTCCAATGAGTATGACTCCAATTCTTCTAATGTCACTGAGTGATCGAGAGCGAGAGAGGGAGAGAGAGAGAGAATATGAACATTTGAATCTGATAAGCGTGTGAGATAAAATGAATATTTCGATGCATTAAATGAGTACCCTGCCACGGTTGCCAAAAATGGTGTAGCTTACTTGTTAAGCAGAGATCTAAATGACAGCAGAAGTTTAGTACTTTTTTTCCTTTTCTCTGGATCCACAGAATGCATAATCTCATATGTAACAATCTATATTTTTCCATTTCATACACAGGTACTTATTCAATATTCAGATATTTCATAGGCCTACACCTGTATAATTTAGGTCATGATATACATTTGCAACAATATTAGCAAAACGGTGAGTATGTAGAATGGAAGGTATAATGTGAACTCCATTTGATTTCTCGTGGATTTTTGATAACCTGGAAAAAATGCCCTTATGTGGTACTATATGTAAGTGCCGTTAGTGTCTTAAAATAATGGCAGTTTAATATGCTTCAACCTAACCATTTAGTCTTTTAAGCACATGTTAAGCATTTTCATTGTACGTAGGCAAAGGACAATCTTTGAGACAGTAGAAAACGGTTGATCATTATAATATCTAGAAGGAGCTCTGAAAATGACAATATTGCATTAATTTGATGAAAATAACAGAAATTGATTATGCAATATTAGTATATGTGAATAATAATTTGCCAAGGTAAAATTAACATAAAGTCTATGAATTGTATGACAGTAATATGTATTTTAGAAAACATTTAAAATATTTTAAATAGCTATTTGAATTAAATATCTTCTTTCAAAGAACAATAGTTAAAAGTGTAGTGTCCAACTTCCACTAGAATGATAGCCAGAAATGTGAGGAAAAGACTTGGAAACTACCTCCTAGCCTAAAGAAAGGTGTTTTAATACAGCATTTGAACTTATTATCCCAGCAGGGCATCTAATTACCTAATAACCCTAGTATCACTTACTCAATGCTCATTCTTGAAATCAGGTCAAAAGTTGTAAATCCTGCTGCCATGAAGTTATTTTTGTATTGCCCCATCTTTATAGAATCTAGCCAATCACCAACCGTGACAAACAAAGGATATTCGGTAACTTCACCAGGGGACTCTGGCATTCTGTAAGAAAACAAAACAGAACAAAACATGGAGAGCATTTAAAGGTCAAATAAAGCAGGAATCATGGAATTTTCTTTTTCCTTTTACAGCATTCTTACATCTGATGTTTTTATTTTCCATTTAAAAGTCTCTGATTTTCTATATTATTCAAATAAGTCACTTAAACAAAATATTAATCAAATCAGGCCTGATGGAACACTTTTTTCTTTTTGTGCTTTTTCCTAGTACTGGGCCTTATACCGATCTTTTTTTTTCTTTTTAATTTTAATTTGATGGCTCTTGAGAGAACTTCACATCTTGCCAGCTCCCTTCTTATTATTATCATCGTTTTTTCTCCTGCATAAAATTGTGTTTTGAAACTAAAGGACTAGCTCATTCCCTGTCCCCACAAGGAGAGTAACTAGCCACAGGATGTTCACTCTTCCCCTTTCTGACCTACCCCTGAATCCATGTCCTTTTCTACATTTGCTGAGATAATTCTTTCCTTCTTTTTTTTTTTTGAGACGGAGTTTCGCTCTTGTTACTCAGGCTGGAGTGCAATGGTGCGATCTCGGCTCACCGCAACCTCCGCCTCCTGGGTTCAGGCAATTCTCCTGCCTCAGCCTCCCGAGTAGCTGGGATTACAGGCACGCGCCACCATGCCCAGCTAATTTTTTGTATTTTTAGTAGAGACGGGGTTTCACCATGTTGACCAGGATGGTCTCGATCTCTTGACCTCGTGATCCACCTGCCTCGGCCTCCCAAAGTGCTGGAATTACAGGCTTGAGCCACTGCGCCCAGACCTTCTCCTTCTTCTGGTGAATTCATTGATCAAACTTCCATTTATTTGTTCTAAAACATTCAATAATAATTTAACTTTTAGGCAGGTGGATCACGAGGTCAAGAGATCGAGACCATCCCGGTCAACATGGTGAAACCCCGTCTCTACTAAAAATACAAAAAATTAGCTGGGCATGGTGGCGCGTGCCTGTAATCCCAGCTACTCAGGAGGCTGAGGCAGGAGAATTGCCTGAACCCAGGAGGCGGAGGTTGCGGTGAGCCGAGATCGCGGCCAGCCTGGGTAACAAGAGCGAAACTTCGTCTCAAAAAAAAAAAAAAAATAATAATAATAATAATTCACTTTTGTTAAAATGTAATTTTGCTGTCATAGAGTTCAGTTGCATAAACTGAACTGATTTACAGACATACAAACATAGGGTAATGTCCCCAAAACACAGATACTAACAGGCACAAAACACAGCATCGATGTTAGGTTGAATTAACAAGAAAATGGATCTTAAAGGCAATGACAGACCAATCTTTATTTTTGTCTCTCAAAGCTGATGCAAAGGGCAGTATAAAGGTATTACTTTGGAAAGGCTAGGGTATACATGTGCTTATATATACATACATACATGTATGTATATGCAATATGTATGAAATAGTTACATATAAAGCTTAAGTTAGAATAAAAACAATAAATCTTAGAAATTACGGTAAAAGTAACCCAGAATTGTGTATGTAAGCCATTCTGACAATAAACTGTGCTCGTTTCTTTACATCATTACATAAAAATTCACATTAATTTTGCATGTTTTAAAAAAACGCTTAGTAGTAAAAGTGTTTTTATAGTAATGAATGTGTTACTAAATTCTAGGGAAATAAACACATCATTTAAAGCATTCTTAGGGGCCGGGCCCGGTGGCTCACGCCTGTAATCCCAGCACTTTGGGAGGCCGAGGCGGGTGGATCACGAGGTCAAGAGATCGAGACCATCCTGGTCAACATGGTGAAACCCCGTCTCTACTAAAAATACAAAAAATTAGCTGGGCATGGTGGTGCGTGCCTGTAATCCCAGCTACTCGGGAGGCTGAGGCAGGAGAATTGCCTGAGCCCAGGAGGCGGAGGTTGCGGTGAGCCGAGATCGCACCATTGCACTCCCGCCTGGGTAACAAGAGCGAAACTCCATCTCAAAAAAAAAAAAAAAAAGAATTCTTAGATCTGTAATTTATATTAACCAGTAAAGCAGTAACAACCTTTAAGAAAAGTTTAGTGTTTGAGTTAAATCACTATATTCTAAGTAATGAAAAACTTCCTCTTTAGAAGTGAATCATTTATTTTTATTAGACTATTGAAGTTAGTCCAACTTTCATTTACTTTGTTTTTTAAAATTTTATAAAGTTAAAGAATGAAGGAGACAATTAGAACCATAGATTTTAATGTTCATATTTGGACTGTTTAATCAAAATGTTTTTACCATTCACATTTGAACTACTTCAGTTTTAACTAGCAATTGATAAGCACTGGGCGCGGGTGATTAAGTCACGTGAAGTAACAGTCTCCCCACTGTGAAGCAGAAGGGCATATACACGCTATACAACCTGCTATGGTTCTACTAATAACATGGAAATTGTGTCCTAAGGTTGATACTTAAGGTAAAAACTGAAATTTCCTAACCATCAAAATTACCCTTAAAAATCCTTTATATCACCCTAAAGTCACCAGCACCCCAGTCTTTTAGGAGCACACGTTGTACATAGTATAACTCCTGAAGACTCTGAAGGGTGCCCCTTGGAATTCAGCAGAAAGTCCCTACGTAAAGGCCTAGAATTCATTTATTTGGTTTTCCTTTTATTACCACGTTGATCGCCTTTTTCTAAGCTGAGATCTAGCTGAAGCAATGAACAGAGATGACAGGGTGGGGCTGTATTCATTACATATGATTGCAATTAACATAAATTAAATGCATGTACCTTGTGATTGATTACAAGTGCTCCGTATTGGGTCTAGTTATCCTTAGCAGTGACATCTCTCCTTCTAAACACTACTCAATTCCATTACATTTCCTATTTGCAGGCTGTTAAGCTGCATTCTTTTCTCCTGTACTACAGATTGCAATGCTATTGGACTGTGGGCTGTTTCATCCTAATTAACATCAAAGTGATTCATGAGTTTACCTAAAACAAAGATCGGTCATGCTCAAAGATTGGACATTTATCACAGCATCTACCAACAAATACTTGAATTGTTGCTGTATTTATTCAGTTTCCTAGAGGTGTTTATGTTAATGAATATTGTCAAATAAAAATTCATATGCAAAATACAAAATAATAAAGGTCTCCATGGCAGACTGAAGCAAATTTTTAAGTTGTAGCATTTTTCAGAGTCTTCACTGCTCTAATGTGCACTGTAAATATCTAAGAGAATTCAGAGTAGTTTCTCCATTATTTTTCTAAATTATTTGACCAGTTTCATGGAATATACCATACTTCACTGACCAAGGATAAATATAAAAATGAGCAGGATACCCTTGTTGCTTATTAACCTAAATAAACCCGCACATGTTAGAAAACTGAATGCCCTTTTTCAAAACAACGTGACTCTCATACCTTTTAAATGCTTGTCAAAGTAGTTTGTTGAAACCGTACAAAATGAAAAGAAGGTATTAAGTGACTTTTCCTTTATACTCCTATGCCATTCTCGATGCCCCGACACAGTCAGATGACGTCTACTTTTCTCTCCTGAGATGACAGTGGAATAACTCTTGAAATTTCATAATTTCATATAATTGGTGAGTAGAAATGTAACTTGCTAATTTTATGTCCTTAGTACAGAAAAGTCACGGAAGGACACTCTGTATATTAAATGACTTAAATGGCCTATCTCCCTTGTTGAAAAGCGTCTCCTATTTGCTTCCACAATGTTTCAATACCGTAATTCCCTTTCTCTCCACAGATCTTGAGTGACCTAGTTACTCTTTGGCCTTTAGACGACTGCCTTGGCAGTTGATTTAGTAAGGTCAAGGTCCCCTCATTGTTCACAGCCACTGTGCAATAACTTTTCTTTCACCTTATCTTCTAAGGAAGTTGAAAAATGTTGCTATTTTCTGGCTTCGAGGGCTTCTGGTACCATTATCCTTACATGAATTCTCTGGAATATTGCCTAATAAACAATAAATGCCCTTTCTTATCAAACAGGTCCGGTGATAAATTTAGTCTGCTATGTGCTGAGCATGTAGAAATTTGTGCTATTTGGTGATTAGTGAATACTGCCCACCTGAGAAATATCTCTACAGCAAAACCTGAAGCTCACATTTTAAATACATCTTATAGAATAGAAGGTCAAGGATCAACTTTTTCTCAGAAAAATGAGAATGGGCTAGAATTAGGAAATTTCATCTATAATTATGGTCAATTTAGATTACAGAAAGGGCAGGAGTATAGGTATTATAAGTAATGTTACAGTTTAAGGTGTAATAAATATACAATTTCAATACAATAAAATACGTTAAAAATGAGTAGCTCTGATAGGAGTCCACAGTTTTTATTCTAATGAGGCCTTTGAGTTCACAATGGCACTAACCTCTTAATTTAGAAGTTTCTTAGCTAAGTCATCAATATATTATCAATACTATCATTAAAAAGTGAGAAGTGTTTTATTCTCAAAAGTTTTCCATGTTTTATATTCATCATATAAACATAAAACAGTAACAGATATACTAAAGTGATTCAAGAAAAGTTATATTTTGAGAAACACTATTGCAAGCTAAGATTCTGTTTTAATGTGACACTCTCATATGCTTAAAAACTTTTCTTCTCTTACTGCTCTAATACAACTTCTTCTTTCCTAGGTCATTCATGTACAGATAGGGTCCATTTTATTTTATCCTGCTTTTGTCTCACATATTCATGAATGCCTTGTTTCAACAGTCTTCATACTCAAATGGGTGCATAATATTCCATATGTGGATGCCTAATAACTTGCCAATTCTCTAAAGTTAAGCTGTTAGAGATTGCTAACAACATGCTTTTAGTAGACATGAGTACGTAGTCTTAGAGCATGTTTTTGTGTCAGTTGAATAACTTCCTTGGGAAAAATTAATAAGACAGAAGAATTTTTTTAAAAGAATAAGTGAAAACTTCCTGATGGCAGGAACACATCTTTCTTTGTGTAGGCACTCACATAACATAGGAATTCATTAAACATAGAAATTCATTAAACACGTGACGACTCAGACTTGA